GGCCATAATTTACTTTTTATCAAAATGAAAAACAACTACTTTCCATGCACTTTCTTGTGTGTAGGGTGTGTGGGGGTGGGGGGTTAACAGCAGTCAGCATACAATCAATTTATATGCATATAGAAAAATCTGTAGACTAGTTCTAGTTATATCGGCTGATGCCAATTGCTGCATGTAGTGTTGTGAATACATGAATGCTTGAATTCAATGCTTGAATGTTCCTGATTACTTTCTATATAAGCATAATTGAACAAATGACAATTATGTGAATCAATAAGAAACGAAAATCTGTATTCTGGGGAGTAATATTGCTGTCAGCACGTTATGTACAGTCTTAAATGAAATCCACGCGCCTCGTCTTCCAAGCAGCAAATTGCTCAATGACACGGCGTGTGTTTACTGGCTTGTCTCTGTGGACATGGATCAGTGCAAGTGATGACATACGGACATCACCCATGGTGGACCGAAGGTACGTCTTGATCCTCCTCATTGCACTGAAGGAGCTCTCGCTTGATGCTGATGTCACGGGCATAGTGGTGACTTGCCGAAAATATTAAGTCTTGGCACGTGCCTAAAGTGCCTAATGGCAGGTGCGCTACTGAATAACAGAGGATAAATAAATGGATACTGTGCAAGTGATGGAGGTGACATCCACGTCTTTGGCACAGTGAGATATCACCTTAAGCATGTCATGTTACAGCGAGATAGTGACAGCCCATCCTACTCCTCCCACGCCACCGTCAACATTTATGTGAATCCATTTGGTCAATGTTGCCACAGGCAACAGGCCAACTAGTCTGTCTCACAGTCCCTCAACCACATTATGTCCCTTTCCACCTTTGCAAACGCCCTAAATTAAGCGAGTTTAGATTTTTCTCAGGTTCAAGCTGAATCTTCATGCCCCCTTAGACTCCTTCTCAATAGATTTGTATCTATCGAAACTATATGCATGCAGAGACTAAGCTTTAGTCTTCAGACCAAATGACACATGACTTAATTCACCCGCTGATAGAGGCTCAGATTTTCCAGAACCGAACAGGACCCTTCATCGTCGCCATATTACATTGTTACACTCACATTTTCTAGCATCTGCATTAAAAACAAACTAGTGTGTAAAAATTTTTTGTTTTGTCTCCTAAGAACATCCCTATAATTAATATCATGTTTAAATTATGGTGTTATCCAAACCCAAATGGAGGGTTACAATCGTTTGAAACTAGATTTTTATCTGAGATCACGTGACCCGTCTATCCGGTCGTGCTGACTATGGGAGCAACGGGCTGATACCGGTGGAATGTATAAACGAGGGGGTGGGAGAGGGGGTGGGACTGTCATACCGCAACTTTACCGTGGTATCTCATCTTTGCCGTGACATGTGTCATAACTCCTGGGTGCCGTCGGATATTTCCCCATAATATCCCCTACTGCTAATTCATTATAGGGATGCACGTGGATGGTTGGGTCTGGTTTGTTTGTTGTTTAACGCTGCACTCAGCAATATTCCAGCAATATGGCGACGGTTTATTAATAATCGAATCTGGACCAGTCAATCCAGTCATCAAGAGCATGAGCATCGAGCTACGCAATTGGGATACGATGATATGTGTCAACCAAGTCAGCGAGCCTGACCACCCGATCTCGTTAGTCGGCCCGATCCCGTTATGACAAGCATGGGTTCCTGAAGACCAATTCTAACCCGGATCTTCAAGGGTAGAAGATACTTGGAGAAGGGGAAGGGGTGTTTCATGAATACAGAGAGGGTTGGAGATGCCTCCAGATTAAAATAATATAAGAATTGGAACGTTTATTAAGATTTACTTTTTTACTTAAAGTTTGATGTGGATTTGGGTTTCAGCGTTTGTGCGTGCGTGCGTGTAGTAGAGGTGTTGAGGGAGGGTCATGACAAAATATTAAATGTATCTGTGGGGAAAACGATGAGGTCATGTAACACAGAATGAGGGTTCAGAAAAATATTATTCAGTGCGAGAACCAAACATGGTACGTGCACACGCGCGCACATACCTATAACAAATTACATATGTACTTCAATGTTACCTTGACATGATTTTTCTCAGTGAACATGTAACTGTCTTGGATGGGTGTTATTAATGGTGATGTTGGAAATTTGTCAGGCCGTTAGACGAGCAGTGTCCATATTTAATAGCCCTCGTCGGGTGACATGTTTCTGAACACAACACCTCTAAAAGGCTTATTCACATGACAGTGACAGTATAGGGCTTGTCCTTGGGATTATAATTGTCTATAAGGCAAAAAGGAACGATGTTTAGTTATGATAGTATTATTTGATTCAGGGCAAATAGAATTGATAGTTATTCAAAAGTCAAAAAGCATATTACTGAAGTTTGTTGCGGACAGTTTTTGGATGTGGGAATAGGTATCTTTCGGATAAAGGAGTCAAAGGCATGAGTTAGCGTCTCACACTCTCACAGAGAGAGAGAGAGAGAGGAGAGAGAGAAAAGAAGAGGGAGAGGGAAAGAGATAGAGAGAAGAGAGAGCGAGAGAGAGAAAGAGGGAGAGAGAAGCGAGAGAGAGAAAGAGGGAGAGAGAAGTGAGAGAGAGACATTTTGTACACAGAGACAGAGAGACACACACTAAATACGTCACATACACTACTGACGCAAAGTTCATAGTAATTTTAGGATCCCCCACAGTTTATTCATCTACGAGGGGCGGTGGGGTAGCCTAGTGGTTAAAGTGTTCGTTCGTCACGAAGAAGACGAGGGTTCGATTCCTCACAACAATGAGTGAAGCCCATTCCGGGTGTCCCTCGCCGTGATATTGCTGGAGTATTGCTGAAGGCGGTGTAACACCAAACTCACAACTGAAGAATATTCGTATTCATTTCTTGACGCCTATTCGTCTCAAGGCATCGGTGGGTCAGGCTCGTTGACGTAATTAATGTTTGTCATCGTTTTCCAGCAGCGTAGAAGAATGCTTATGATGTCAGCCTATGGTTTAGCAGCACTCCATTGTGTGATTTTTCTGAGTGCGGTGTTAAACAACAAAAACATCAACATAACTCTTATAACTGACGAACAGGATTGGAAAAACAAAACTAGAGAACAGGGTTTTTTAAATGAGTTTATTACTGGCATTATCAATTTCGAATATATACCACTAGTACATGTTTGTAGTGGGTGAGTGAGTTTGGTTTTACGCATCCTCGATAATCTCCAGGGAATACGTTACGATCACTCTCCACTATACCCCGGATGCATCCACGGCTTGGCCCGATGATTTTATTACCTCCCTTGGCTGACTTTTAATCCAGTCACGTGTCTACGCTGGGAAGTTGAGCGAACCAATCACAACTCACTTTCGCTTCATAAATTATCTAACCGTTCAAACTTGGTAACACAATTGATGCAGAGGTACTCTGAAAGAGGTAAAAGGAGTTCTTTTATATAGTTTTTTGAAAGTTTCAAATCTGTCAATTTGTCTGTATTATTTCCTCAAAAATCTGAGTGGTACTGCGAACAAACCTTCGCGACTGCGACCGCTATCTTTGTTGACACTGGCAAGCTCGGATGTAACGGCGGCTTAGCTGATTGGCTACTGTGAGAATGCGCAGCCAGCAAACGGAGGTAACATAATTATCGGGCCAAGCCGTGGATGCATCCAGGGTACAGTGGAGAGTGATCGTAACGTATACCCTGGAGATTATCAAAACATTAACACGCACATGACATTAACTACACATTTTTCTGATTTCTCTATCAAAATACAAAACCAGTGTATGACAACACGAAATTCTGATTTCTCTAACGAAATACAATACCAATATACGAAATAAACTACACCATGATGTCATTACGATTGTTGTAACAGTAGAACGTGTAATTTACGAGTATGTCATGTACTGGTTTTGTTGTGAGTGAGTGAATGCGTGAGTGAATGAATGAGCGACTTTAGTTTTACGCCGCTTTTAGCAATATTCCACCAATATGACGGCGGGGACACCAGAAATGGACTTCACACACTGTGCCCATGTGGGGAATCGAACCTGGTCTTCGGCGTGACGAGCGAGCGCTTTAACCACTAGGCTAACCGAGCTTCCACTTGGTTGTAAAACAGCAACACCTGATAATAGCATGGGTGACAAACTTTTGTCAAACAGCCTGTAACATTTGTTCGTTGTATGAAATCTTTACAGTTCAACTTGTCTTTGTTATAGCAAGCTTACAAAGCTGGTCTAGTGAGCCTATAGACTGACTTATCTATGATTCATCGTCGCTGATAAATATATAACGCTAGATAACCCTGAGCAAAAGACGTTGTACAACAGTAAGGTGCTCTTCTATGTCGGCGATGTTGAAGGACTCACCGACCGACCTGCTCTTGATAGGCGCACCCGAGCTTCCTCGGTGCATCGTGGGAGTGATTAGATAATATTTTGAACAGTAGTCAACAAGATCACATTTGTATCAAAGACGACTGCAACTACTAGGTCTGGGTGACACAAACCAGTAAAACTTGGCTGTGGATTGGGGTTAACGTTGTGTTTAAGAGTATTGCACTTATATGTCAACGTCAATACACGATGCCATTTAGAAAGTGATTAAATGTAACCTATATCCTAAGTGGTCATGGGATTACACTTTCTTAATAAAGTACAGATTCTAGTACTTTTGTTGGATTGAGTCCCATCAGGGATTCGAAGTCGAAACGCCGTGTTGGAGCTGAAATACTGGCCAAAGCGGCATTACAATCATTCACACGTACACCATGTCACAAATTAAGGCGGTTTACCAGAAACAATTCAGTTGTGGCAACATCGCCCGAAAGTTATAGGGTTTTGCCTCTTGTTAGAGAAATCAGAATTACTCGCAGGTTTTGTCCTGTACTGGCTGGTTTGCTTAATTGTCAGAGAGATCACAGTCGCATATTGTTTTATGTTTTTCTGATTTTCAATATTGATAAAGAAATCAGATTGATACAGATTATATTACGAAAATTTAAAAGGAAATCATAATGACATGTAATTTTTATTGTTTATTGTTTGATTTGCATTCGAAATATGGGTAGATAAGTATAAAACACACAACTTTATGGATAACAACTTCTTTTATATCATAGTCGAAAGTTTTTGTACCGTTGTAGAATATGTATCGAAACGTTGCACTCGCGAAATAAAAGAAGCTTTTATCCATAAAGTTTGTTCTACATTGTACGTCCTAACTTCGAAAATGCCACCCAAAGAAGTGCTTGTGGAGATGTTTCGATGCAGAAATCCGAATGGTATTTTACGGACGCTTTCAACGCTTTTCCAGGGTGCAGTTATTCCGTGACGGGTATCCGGAGCGGGTGGTGTGTGTCGATGGTCTTAATGTAGGTAAAATGTCTGGCCTGTGTAGGATAGAGTTATCCTGGTAGGGCGAATTCCGGTCTTGCTTCCTTTACTTGTTATCAATTACCTGTTGTTTTTAATGTTAACGTTCTGCTGATCAAAACAGTATACCAGGCATATATACAGGGGCGGATACAGCCTTTTTAGAAAGGGGGGTGCATACGATTGAGAAAAGGGAGGGTGCACATTTCATTTTCACCCGAGTTTCAATGGTCATTTAATAAACTTTCAGGACTAAAGCGGGGGTGCGCGCACCAACCCAAACCACCCCCACCCCTTCTGGATCCGCCTATGAAATGACAATACGTTTTGCTTTGCAGTTTAGATATGCGCCTTTGAAATGTGCTGTTGAAATACTGTAGAAGATATTTGTTTCCCGATGGTCTTGTTTATCTTCCGGCATATGAACCTCATTTAAATATATGTATGGTCACAAATCTTTTTGATAGCAAATTGTGTGCCTCCGGGGAAATACCTGTTCGTGTTCAGGACTCACATGAATAGAACGCGATAACTCTATATGATGACGAATGTCCTTAATGTTGTAATAATACTCTGTAGTAATAACTCGACCGGATAACTAATTCAACTTTGATTACTTCACCGCGTTTACCAAAACTAACTGTTAAAGGTAATTGATACAAATACATTACACCTGACATTATCCTGTCATTTAAGTCAGCACAAACTATTTGACAGAAACAACCATTTTCGCATTTCCTATCGCGATGTGACACCCCTAATGTATCTATTCCATGCCAACGAACTTCAACCAAACGTAGTGTGCTGGACTTGAAAAGAAAAGAAAACTTCCGGGCAAAAGAAAATATAGATCCGTATTTGATCGGCGGTGTCGAAAAATGAAGAAAAACAAAAAGAAGACCTGTTTAATCGATGGTGCTGTATTTGATAAGGTATTGTGTTACATTTTGAAACTTAAGTGTGCAGTGTTTCGGCAACCGTTTTAAGCCTTGTAACGTTTGTAGTTTTTAGTGAGTGAGTATGGTTTTACGCCGCTTTTAGCAATATTCCAGCAATGTCACAGCGGGAGTTTTTTAGTCAGACATATAGTGTAATATACTATACCTCTATCCTTTCTTGTGCTCAGCAGTTTACAATGGATCAAAGGTGGCTCGTGTGTCAAAGATATGTCTGGGATGTAATATACTTTTAACGATGACAAGGGAACGTGCTAACAGTGACGTTGTACGTCTACTCTCACAGCTGTACGCACGTAAACGGTGTCGAACTTCCTGCCGAAGTAATTGTAGCTGTTGCCAAGGTTGACAGGTACGTTGTTTGTATTGAGCTGCCCCTTTCTCTGCACTCCTCCCTCGTAACAAATAGTGAACTGTGTCAATATTTTAATGATAGTTTGTTAAACAACTTTTTTAATTTTAGGACATAAATTCTGCAAACAAATCACAGAGTTGGTCTGATGTTTTGATTATGATCAGCGTTTCATTGAGTATTATATGTTTATTAGTTTTCGAGTTAGATTGCAATTCATCGGTCCGCTTTTGAGCCAAACGGACTATACAGGGCTACGATAACACAAGCTGCCGAGTTATAAAATTTGCTGTAAACATCGCCGCTCCTTTGATGCGCGATGTCGATTGTCGAGTTTTTATTCCCATTACATTCTTTTGTCTGCCAGTACAAAACCACATCGCAGTGTTTGACGTCAATATAGCGCTGCGCCATTCACAGTTTGGCCACACAGACCATAGAAGCCAATATATATGTACCAGTGTTATCAGAGCTGGAAGTCAGACAAACACACAACGTACTCTAGGGGTGGATACAGCTTTTTGAGAAAGGGGAGTGCACACTACTGAGAAAAGGAGGGGTGCACACTTCATTTTCACCCGAGTTCCAATGGTCATTTAACAAACTGTCAGCACAAAAGGGGTGCTGCCCATCCCTGCACCCCCCCCCCAATCTGGATCCGCCTTTGATATAGCACTCATCTGTTCACCCTCATTGCATTCACTTCAGCTTGGTAACGGTAAATGTTCGTGAGTAAGCTTAGATTTTGAATAAAATTTAACAATATTCTAGCAATATCACGGGGGACACCAGATATGAGCTTCACACATTGTACCCATGTGGGTAATCGAACCCGGGTATTCAGCGTGACGAGCGGACGCTTTAACCATTAGGCTACCCCCACCGCCCCTAACGGTGACATAATCTACTCTATAACGTCGCTAAATTCTAAAATTACAAGAAGTTATTATCCATGAACTGGTATATTATACAATTATAGACTGGCGAATTCGGTCAATACCTGTTTTTATGGACCCGCGAAAAGCAATATTGACCGGGGTATTACTTACATATTTGACCGAATTCGCCAGTCTATAATTGTTTTATTATGTAATTACCGAAAAAAGCTTCTAAAATCCAAAACATGTCCATTTAGTCAAAAAAGTAATATTTTATTTTCACTACAAACCAATAACGTTATGTCAACAATACTGTGACATGAAAACAATAGAATGACGTCATAGCTTGACGTCATAGTAACTCAGGTCAATATGGTTGGAGTCAATATGCTTTTCTGTCGACGGTCACGTGACCGCCTCTAGACCAATCAGGTAGCCGGAAAATATGTTTGCATAATAATTCCGTATATTGGTTTGCTATAATGTGAAACAAATTAGAGAAAATACAGACATCATAGTTTCAAAAGTGCGGAGTGTTTCCATGTTTAGAGGATATGTCGATTGCTAACTATGTTGACATGTGACTTGAAAATGCAATGGGAGCGGTGGGGTAGCCTAGTGGTTAAAGCGTTCGCTCGTCACGCCGAAGACACGGGTTCGATTCCCCACATGGGTACAATGTGTGAAGCCCATTTCTGGTGTCCCCCGCCGTGATATATAGCTGGAATATTGCTAAAAGCGGCGTAAAACCATACTCACTCATTCACTCACCAAAAATGCAATGTGAAAGAGAGTGGCTTTGTGAATCTCACACTTTAAACAGATAAATGTCACATTGGACAGGTATTTCGATATTGTTTATACTGTTGAAATTTCTTGTGACGATGTTACTTCCCTTAGTTGTAAAAGGATCTGCTGTTCGTAGGTTGGAATCCCAAATACTCCCCGATATTTATCTTTTACCTGTTCTTGAGTACCATACCCTTGCTCGGTGGCATCATGCGGTGAACGTCGGTTGGTTGATTTGTTGTTTTACGCCGCACTCAGCAATATTCCAGCTATATGGCGGCGGTCTGTAAATAATCGAGTCTGGACCAGACAATCCAGTGGTCAACAGCATGAGCATCGATCTACATAACTGGGATACGATGACATGTGTCAATCAAGTCAGCGAGCCTGACCAGCCGATCCCGTTAGTCGCCTCTTACAACAAGCATTGGTTACTGAAGATCAATTCCAACCCGGATCTTGGGTATGCGGTAAACTTGGCTTGAAACGTGGTGATGTTGTAACGTGTTCAAAGATATATATTTAGAATAATTTACACTGCGTGGTTTACCAAGCTACTGAGTTAAATACCATTATGTTTATCAAATCATCAATTTGAAGTGACCAAATGTCCACATCCTTACAATGAAAAACCCCACTTAGTCTCTAGAGAACTCACATCCGTTGCACGGAAAAAACACTCTGTATCTCGAACCCTTGATAACACGCCACATTCTTACAACGTAGAAACCAACTCTGTCGGTAGGCCACTCAGTCTCTCATACCGCCTGAATACCTCGCACGTCCTTACCTCCGAGAAACTCATCTTTAACAGTGGGGTAGCCTAATGGTTAAAGCATACGTCCATCACGCTGAAGACCCGGGTTCGACTCCCACATGGGTACAATGTGTGAAGCCCATTTCTGGCGTCCCCCGCCGTGATATTGCTGGAATATTGTAACAAGTGTTATATTTGGTATTACACTTTGTTAGTAAAGTACAGATTCTAGTACTTTTGTTGGGTTGAGTTCCATCAGGGATTCGAACCCACACCCTCAGAGTCATTCACCTAATCGCCAGCACACAAAGTCAGACGCCTAGACCGCTCAGCCACCGCGACTTTCACACAAAAAAACTAAGTCGGACAACTGGTAGGCCAGACTGTGGACTTTGTGTACCCCTCCGATAAGTGTAAATTGGCACGGCTCCCATGATTACACAATGCCATATAGAAAGTGGTCAAATGTAACATATTTGGGATTACACTTTCTTAGTAACGTACAGATTCTAGTACCGTTGTTGGGTTGAGACCCATGTTGGAATATTGCTAAAAGCGGCGTAAAACTATACTCACTCACTCACTCACTGTAACCTAAGTGGATACCATAAACACAATCACCCTCGGGATGCCGGGCACGGAATAACTGCAAAACTGGAAAAGTGTTGAAAGCGCTCGTAAAATACCATTAGGATACACGTTCACATTAAATATAATAAAATCATTTAAAGGCTTAAATTCCTTCTCACAACGAATTACATGAAACGGGGACTTAATTCTGGTCATTTATGATTCAACTGTGGAAATGACAAACGAATATTTATTAATGATTACACAATGCCATTTACAAAGTAGTCAAATGTAACATCTGTTGAATATTTATTAAGACTTGCCAGGCTTTAGTTTATTAAAAGGTAATGATCAAATATACAAATCTATATTGGATATTAAATTGCAAATGATTTGATACAAATGAACGTACCAACGTGTCACTAAACAATATGCCGTCGCTTTCAGTAATTGAAATATGTATATGTCCTGGCGTGGTTTTAAAGATGAAAATACTTCCTCCATCAGTCAGCATCTTACAGAAGAAGGAAAAGAAGAAAATTGTTTATTAAAGTGTCCCATGTTGTACATCATAAGAGACATAACAAATATAGACATAAACTTGAGTACAACATCCGACCAATACGGCCTATGAAACACTATTTTGCATTTAGAGACAAAAGTTAAAATCAAATAATAAATTACTAATAACTATTAAACAATAGTGTAAAATTACTGGGGATGCCAAATTGAACCACGAAGTTAAAAGGAGGACAAGAAAGTGAAGTTAAATAGTGAAGAGGTAGGGTAATTTGTGAATTGACGACGTCTAAACATGCGTAGGGGTAAAGCGGCTACTTGTTTAATAAACTGGCAATATCTTGCATAATGAGAGTGACCTGGTCAACAGGAGTGTACTGGGTTAAGAAAGGGTATACTACCGTGACAGCGTTCCATAAGCCGTATCTGACATCCAAATAAAAATTACAGCCTGCCGAGAAATGAATTTCGTCCTCGACTTCATAACTGTTATATTTACTGCAAATGCGTTCTTCCAAGATTCATAGATTCAAAGGGGGGTTCCCGTTTTGCCGGACGCTTTTGTTATAGATAAAAATTCACTGATGCACGATAATCCTTTAAACAATAGGGTATTAACTTATAGTCTGTTTCGGCCTAAGAAAGTACACACTGTAGCTTCATCTCGATATTTCATATTTCACCAATTCAACATTTTGGGTACATTTTATCTTAATGATAAAATTCATAAATAAATATTTCGTACATTTTCAGAAAAAAAAAAAATGGTAACTGTAGACATAAATAAATATGCATAACTATTTTCTGAACTGAACTTGATCTTGATGGTGGTTGTGTATGTTCCTGGAACTGCTGAGAACATCACTGACGGTGTTGGCCGTTGCAGGACAACCTGTCTTACAACATTTCAAATGAACTCGGTCCCTTTTTGTGCTCTTAACCCTAAACTTGTGACCTAGATAGATTAAGTGTCTACCTACCTCCCCTCGAATTTGGAATGTTAACTTGAACGTTTGCCATTTTGCAATGAACGAACCATGTCTACATTCTTTATATACAGGCACAACTTCAGAAATAATCATTGGAATAAGCTTCACTCAATTCAGCTAATATAATTCGATTTAACTAAAATCAGTTACTAGAAATCGAGTTCACTCAAAACAACTTGGTGCCTTGTAATTAATGATTTCGAACTCAGTCTGCCAAACGCTTATGTCCCCCAAATGCCTATGGGTGACAAGTAATCACTGAAAACAGACTATAGCCGGCAAACTAGCCGACCGTTACTTTTAATTCGTTATCATCATCAGCTGTCCGGCAAAGTGGGGTATGACCGATTCAAATCACTATTATTGGTTTGTATTACAAGGGGGTAAGCGCAGTAGTTGGAACAGTGAAACAAATTGAGCGTTATCTTAGACCAGCCCTACTCGTTCTCGGATTTCATTTAATGTGCATACCCCCATGTAATACAAACCAACAATAGCGATTTGAAACTACGATCGTTTGTTAAACAACTTTTATCCTAAGTTAAATAAAATTCTGAGATTCAAATGTTCAATTGGCAAGGTAAAATTATGAGGATTCGCAATCTTAATTTCACTTTATTTGATTTACCGTGAAATTCATCGGTACTTTTTCATTGCAAACATACTATAGTTAGTTATTGGTTTTATTTAACGTCGCACGCACAACTAAGGTATTTCGGCGACGGAGTAGTACACTTTTTATGAAATGAGGGGGAACAGAAAATAGAAATGTTAAAAGTGTGGTGTTACTAAAGAACAACAACAACAAAAACCGACTATTAAGGGAACTTTAAATGGGAGGCCGAAATAAATCTTCCAAGGGGGTCTTAGGTCGTTTATATCTGTATAGATGTTCAACCTGTAAAGGTAATGTCTTCCAGCAACAGCACGCGAAAACAAATTGCTCATGCGTCCCCCGAGCACATTGTTCCACTTCTGAAATAATGAAAGGTGTTAACGACATCTTATTAATCTCTTAAACAAGAGTTTCTTAAATGAGTTAATCTGCTCTAGAAATACAAACTCGGGTTACTGCCCTGGAGGTAGTTGCGAATTAAAGTGGCAGACATTGTTTTTACTTCCATTTGTCAGGGAATTTCACACATGCACGTGTTGTTTTAGGAATAGAGCTAATTAATTGTGCTGACTTTGACATCTAATAAGCTCGAGTTGTGGCAAGGAGCCCTTCAAAGTTAATCCCCTTTCAGACGCTGATATTGTTCCGTCACCTCATTTGTGGAATTGATCACCGTTATAAGCTGACCGTAGTAAATCTGACCGCACGGGACATTGGCCTCAACCAGAAGCCGACGTTAAACTTGAAATCATCATCATCTGACCGCAACTCAGTTGTAGCTATTTAACAGCCGACACGGGACACAGACGGATATGACCACGTGAACATCGATCCGCATCGAGACTTGACAATACGATACACCAGGACCGTGTTTGTAAGTCATTGCTGGTAAGACACCAATATCGTATTACCCGGTTTCACAAGCCACACCTGAATTGAACGCGAATACCAGGTCACATCGATCGCCTGGGTGTGCTTGCTGGGTGAAGTTAACACAAGGATATATCAGGTTCCATAGCTGTATAGGATATAGGCAACTTGTTAAAAACAAACTCCTGTGTATCTGATGTGGTGGTAAAGAAGAGCACACCTGTACGTTGTCAACAAGAAAGTTTTACCGACGACTGATGTGGAAAGGAGACCGCTTGTGGATTTTTTACAAAACCAGTTTGGAGTGTCGCCATAGAAGGGCTTATTCATGTATGGGATAAAGATGTTGACGAAAACCTTCCGTGATCTGAAGCGTTACAGGCCAGTCGACATGCGCAAAAGGAGTGAGTACATATGATATCGCCATTTTGTTTCAACATTGTTTGGGTTTGACGCATTCCCCCCCCCCTCTCTCTCTCTCTTCTGTTTCCTCCCCACACCTCCCTTCCTCTCTTTCCCTCCTCCCTCCCTCCTCTGACTTTAGCATATTTTCCTATCTAAAAAAAATAATCACGAAGGATGACACATTTGTTGCATATGTTTCTAATGATGTGGTATTTAAAATGTTCAATTATGTATGTAAAGTTACACATCCTCCCCCTCACCCACCAACCTCTCTGCCTCTGCCCTGTCTCCATCCTTCTATCTCTGCTGTCTATAACCTATCGTAAAGTCTTCCGCTTTCATCTTCATCATCCGGGATTCGAACTCAACATGAATCACTGTAGTCCTACCCGTCACAGAGCCTCCACGTCTCGATAATAAAAACAATGTGACACGACCCGTTTGCCATTACACCCGAGTTGGCCGGGCCAATGATACCAGTCCCTGAGCTATTTCTGAAGACATTTTCTGCACACCAATAAAGGCGATATGATCTTTCACACACCCTTTGACGAGATAGTAGTTGGATATCTATTTCCTTCAAATGGGTAATGAATAGCGTCCCGTCCATTGTTACACTGACTATTAATCATTTTCTGTAAAAAGACCAGTCGAGTCTATTGTTGTTTATATAATAAAGGTATATTATTTACCACAGCCCGACACTATCATGAAACACTGGATAACCACGACACCGCGAGGTATCATCTTGCTTCTGTTCTATTGAATAGATCGAGACGAGTTCCTGTAGAACAAGGTCATCAGGACCTAGAAGTACAAGTTAACAGATTCTAGTATGTTGCCCGCCAACCTTCCTACGACGGCTACCTGAAATCAATTCTGTAGATCTCTTACAAAGGCAACAAATATCAGTCACATCACAATTTTTTGTACACGTGTATACTCCAGTCATTCTTCAGAAAACAACATCTAGTCATGCAACAGCAATTCCTTTAGACAGGGAACATGACTGCAATAATCATCGGTAATGAACCCAAAGAGATTCAGGTGCTTAAACAACCCCATCTTGTAAAACCCGCAACGAGTACCCCTTCCATCTGGGAATAAAAAACAGTTTGTTTGAAAAACGGGTAGATCAAGACAAACTACAATTTGTGCTTTTCGCTTGATGAGTTAAGAAACGCACACACAACTACCTCCTACGCACACGCACACCTCCCACACACGTGCACACATAATATCCAGTTGTTATTATTGCTTTTTAGATTACAGCGAAATCACATGATATTCTTTGGTGTGTGAATGTGTAATTTGCATGACTATTTAATGTTTCCAAAATTATTGTAATCAATGTATACCATTTAGTTTCCATTTCAATAGTTATTGCAATGTGTTCCAATTTCAACTGTTATTTCATTTGAGATTAAAATGTGCTTTGGTTATTTTGATCAAATTGATCTCGTATGAATACATATCTTTGCCATATTCAACTCATTGAACATATTATTCGCTTGTCAATCTGATTTGGTCTATGAAATACTTCGTGTTTCTTTATTATCAATATATACATTTTTATTTGCAGATTTGAAAAAAGTATGGATCCTGCTGATAGTCATGACATTTGCAACTTACTTCCTGCAAAACTGGTTCTGTTTCACGCCTCCAGTACCGGACCTTGACCCTCGGGGTCATCCACACAAACCACATAGCAACCAGCACAATCAGCCGGAAAAAGCGGGCACTCAACACAGAAGGAAGTTAAATGATCCGGAAATGTAGGTGTATTTAATCAGTATGGCTATGTGTAATACACTGAACGTAACGCTAAGAAATCCAGAGTGAAAATACACTACAAACATTTTAAAAACAACAACATTAGAATACTCATGGCTGATTTGCTAAAGATTTGCTTCAAAGAGGTGTCACGGATTCCTCAAATGTATAGGTATTGCAATTAGGTGTGTAGAACTGTGTCCCTTGTGTCCCAAACACATATCGTCAGTTCGAGCCTCGGTTTGCCCCGGTCATGTTTCAAGGTTTCCCATCACCATAAAGGTTCAAGGTTTCCCATCACCATAATGGTTCAAGGTTTCCCATCACCATAATGGTTCAAGGTTCCCCATCATCATAATGGTTCAAGGTTTCCCATCACCATAATGGTTCAAGGTTTCCCATCACCATAATTAATGGTTCAAGGTTTCCCATCACCATAAAGGTTCAAGGTTTCCCATCACCATAATGTTCAAGGTTTCCCATCACCATAATGGTTCAAGGTTTCCCATCACCATAAAGGTTCAAGGTTTCCCATCACCATAATGGTTCAAGGTTTCCCGTCACCATAATGGTTCAAGGTTTCCCATCACCATAATGATTCAAGGTTTCCCATCACCATAATGGTTCAAGGTTTCCCATCACCATAAAGGTTCCCGCCACCATAATGAGGTTTTCCCATCACCATAAAGGTTCAAGGTTTCCCATCACCATAAAGGTTCAAGGTTTCCCATCACCATAATGGTTCAAGGTTTCCCATCACCATAATGATTCAAGGTTTCCCATCACCATAATTAATGGTTCAAGGTTTCCCATCACCATAAAGGTTCAAGGTTTCCCATCACCATAAAGGTTCAAGGTTTCCCATCACCATAAAGGTTCAAGGTTTCCCATCACCACAGTGGTTCAAGGTTTCCCATCATCATAATGGTTCAAGGTTTCCCATCACCATAAAGGTTAAAGGTCACCATAGGTTCAAGGTTTCCCATCACCATAATGGTTCAAGGTTTCCCATCACCATAAAGGTTCAAGGTTTCCCATCACCATAATGGTTCAAGGTTTCCCATCACCATAAAGGTTCAAGGTTTACCATCACCATAATGGTTCAAGGTTTCCCATCATCATAATGGTTCAAGGTTTTCCATCACCATAAAGGTTCAAGGTTTCCCATCACCATAAAGGTTCAAGGTTTCCCATCACCATAAAGGTTCAAGGTTTCCCATCACCATAAAGGTTCAAGGTTTCCCATCACCATAATGGTTCAAGGTTTCCCATCACCATAAAGGTTCAAGGTTTCCCATCACCATAATGGTTCAAGGTTTCCCATCACCATAAAGGTTCAAGGTTTCCCATCACCATAATGGTTCAAGGTTTCCCATCACCATAATGGTTCAAGGTTTCCCATCACCATAAAGGTTCAAGGTTTCCCATCACCATAATGGTTCAAGGTTTCCCATCACCATAATGGTTCAAGGTTTCCCATCACCATAATGGTTCAAGGTTTCCCATCACCATAAAGGTTCAAGGTTTCTCATCACCATAATGGTTCAAGGTTTCCCATCACCATAATGATTCAAGGTTTCCCATCACCATAATTAATGGTTCAAGGTTTCCCATCACCATAAGGTTCAAGGTTTCCCATCACCATAAAGGTTCAAGGTTTCCCATGGGCATAATGGTTCAAGGTTTCCCATCACCATAATGGTTCAAGGTTTTCCATCACCATAATGGTTCAAGGTTTCCCATCACCATAATGGTTCAAGGTTTCCCATCATCATAATGGTTCAAGGTTTCCCATCACCATAATGGTTCAAGGTTTCCCATCACCATAATGGTTCAAGGTTTCCCATCACCATAATGGTTCAAGGTTTCCCATCACCATAAAGGTTCAAGGTTTCCCATCACCATAATGGTTCAAGGTTTCCCATCACCATAAAGGTTCAAGGTTTTCCATCACCATAATGGTTCAAGGTTTCCCATCACCATAATGGTTCAAGGTTTCCCATCACCATAATGGTTCAAGGTTTCCCATCACCATAAAGGTTCAAGGTTTCCCATCATGGTTCAAAGTTTCGATAAAATGGACCCGTGAAGATCCGGGTTAGAACTGATGTTCAGTAACCCATGCTTATCGCAAGAGGCGACTAACGGGATCGGATGGCCAGGCTCGCTGACTTGGTTGACACATGTCATCGTATCCCAGTTATGTAGATCGATGCTCATGCTGTTGATCACTGGATTGTCTGATCCAGACTCGATTATTTACAGACCATAAAGCTGGAATATTGTTGAGGGGGCGTAAAACTAAACTCACCCACTTACGTCTATAAACTGGTTAAACATGGTTAAAGTCTTAAAGTTGCATCGTCTTTACCTTAAACAAACTGTCACTCCATGACATAAGCAAACACATAAAACACAACTAACGTCTCCTCAACAACCACCTGTTCCCGGCATGTTACCCTATAATAGACATGGACTGTCGCTCAACTAATACTCTTTCTGTGTTACAGAGATTACAAGCAAATGGAACCAATAGTTGCACCAGATAGACAACAGATACAACCACAGCAACAACAGAAGAGGCAACTCCAAATTAATCTGGATTCCAAAACCAACAATAAAACACTCAACGCTGGGGCCAGGTAGTTCACATTTTAAGTCACCGGATGTATTTCTTAAAATTTAGACAAAATCTAGGTTGGATATATGTGTTTGTAGATATACTGTTGTCCGTGATAAAAATTGATTTGCTAACCAAAAGTGTAAATATCATTTGCAGTTCCGTGACAAAACTTGAGAGCTGGATAGTCGTACTTTCTTCAAACGAATGTGACGTCACTCACTTCAACAAAATACCAGGATGGAAAGTGGTCGTTGTCGGCAAGACTCCGAAAGGGTGCAAGTATGTATCAGTTTATTTTTTTCCCCACCAAATCATAATTATCGACATTGGTTATTTTAATCTCAGAGACGAGTAGCATTTTCTGAAGGTGGGCAGTGTGGAACAAAACAAGCAGGACATGTTTAAGAGGATGCGACAAAATCAATTTTAATAGGTAGTCGTATTCACAAACATATTGTAATGTCACATTATTACCAAAAAAGTCACAATCGTTTGATTGACTAATCAAATCTTTCACTCACTCACTCACTCACTCACTCACTCACTCACTCACTCGCGCGCACGCGCGCACACACGCTCGCCATAAATGATGTATTATTTTCTTTATATTGTTACAGGCCTTCCAGCGCCTCTCACTGCACATACCTCAACTCTGGGAAGGTGAAATCCCTCGGCTATGCTATTTCCAAACTTCTCTCAGGAAACTCAGACAGCATGAAGATGATTGGTTACCTGTATGCCATCTCCAAAGGAGCCACCGTCATCTACGACACGGAGTGTCACATCTTTCCCAAATTCAACCGTTTGGACTTCGCAATGTCTGGCAACACCAGCAGTCTGGCATTTGCTGATGGCCCCATCTTTAATCCATATGGTCATTTTGGATATCCCATGTTATTCCCCCAAGGGTTCCCCCAGAACGCGCTGTATGTCAAGGGTCCCCATCGCTATCGTATAGTGGACATAGAGGTCCCGCTCATTCAACAAGGTCAAGTGAATTTCATGTTAGGAAAGCAGGACGTGTCGTATCTTAAACTCACCAAGGACCACAATATTACATTTGACAGGTCATCCCCACCCGTCTGTCTGTCGGGCAATAGGTTTGGACCAATCGGCTCCATGAACACCGTGTTTCTTTACAAATCATTTCTCACTATGTTCCTGCCTACCAAATGCAAAGGTTCCTGTAGCTCAGTAAGAGGATACTTTGCGCAAAGACTCTTGGCGGAAATTGGTGGTAGTACTGGATTCCTGTCCTCCACAGCTTACTCTTTAACCCATCCTACTGGTAACAGCAAATTTGTGATTGGTAAGCAGTCAACAGACAAGAGCACTGAAAATTTAATCGGCTTGTTGAAGAACTGGAAATGCACCCCAAGTCTCAGCATGTTTGCGTGTGCAAAATCTCTTGTTGATCACCTCGTGAAGCATTCGTTCATGTCCAAGAAAGACAAAGCCTTGTTTGACGCATGGGTCACAGACTTGAAGAAGCTTAAATTCAAAGAACCAAGACGAAGAACCATTGCCGATGTTGATTCCAATCCCACCATGTGGAACCCTCAGTTAACGTATGCATCGTCAAGAACTATCCCAGCAGAGATTTTGTTAGGCACTGACACAACCCAAAAGCATATTTCAAAGCATATTTTCAAGAAACTATACGACACGTGTCCTAAACTGAAGTATACCCTCTCGGATTGGCTCAATGCCCCAATAACAGACATCATGCTGGTTGTGATATTAAATTATGAATTTCTTCATAAAAATCTCGCCTACCTAGAATTTTCTCACAGGAGATATTTCAGACATATTATGTATTGTGGGCCAAGCTACCCCGGGTTTGACAAAATTCTAAAAGAGACGAATATGGAACATATTACATACGTTGAAGGTGTGGAGAAAGACTCGTGGTTTTTTATATACACGTGCCTCATTCATGCAGCGAATATGAGGCTAAATGTAAAGGGTTATCTCTATATGGGGGATGACATCCTCCTTAATCATTGGAATCTTGTTGATCTCCCAAGAGACACATTCTGGATGCCAATGCCTGTAGCCTATGTCGAAAGGAATCATACAAGCAAATATTGGTGGTACTATTGGAATAAGCCCATTGGAAGGAAGGCTGCGAATCTCTTTATAGATGACTTACAAACTTCCGCGAAGAAGAACCCCAATGATGCAATTTTGAACAATTTTTTGAAAGAGTATGATAAAAATGTCAATCTTAGCAGAGCTGTTCATCGATCAATTGATGTGTTTTATGCTCCTGCTCGTTATAATGCAGAACTGATCAGACTTGGGAAGATGTTCAGGAAACATAATACCCTGCTTGGTCTAACAATTCCTATGCTGCATGCTGGTCTCGCTAACTTCAAAGACTCATTTCACCTCAAAGGGAAGAGTCTATGGAAGAAGGACAGATCAAATAACCTGGATGCGTTCAAGGTTGACTCTCATTATATTCATCCTTTCAAAGCAGGAACAGATTTGGACAGGAAAGAAGGAAAACACTTCTTTTGTGATTATTATTTTCCACTTTCGGAATCGAAGTTATTAGAGATAAGGAACAAATTGCACAAGAATAGGTAAAACAAAGTCCCAGGACGATTATGACGATTGTCAGAGAAGAACTTGTGAAAAAATATAAACATAAATTGTCTCATCACATTTATCCTGAACAAAAAACAGAAATGTGTGTATAGTGTTTTGTGGAATTGGGTGGACGAAAATGTGTTTTGAAGTGGAGCACATGAATTGCCTTGGGAAACTGGGTGTCATGAATGGTGACGTTTATATGTGTTTGTGGGTGCTTATTGTGGACATGACGTGCAATGCTCAATGGACATTTCTGTAAATATCGAGCCAAATTGTACTTTTATGAAAATATAATATATTATAATATATTCACACAGTGGGATTTCGTAATAAAATATGGAATTACACTGGCTTTTACGTTTTGACATGTTTATCGGCACTGCCCTGATTGGTTTTGTGCAGTTAGTATGTTTGTGAATTACCACTTTAAGCATGTATGCAGCCATATCACGATTGAGAAACATGGACTGTCGTTCTGCACCCATGTAGGGAATTGAACCTGGGCCATCATCGCATGGGGTCAACGCCTATACAACTAGCCTACTCCTGCACCCGATTTGTTATTAGCAATGAAACACTTTCTTTAAAATGAGAAAGTAAGTTGAATATCGTGCATTCCTTATAAAAAAGGCTAATATACATCTTAAGGAAGTTGTCAGGGAGATAGGTTTTTTTTAGTTTTTTTTTAATTTTTTTTATTCATTTCAGTGAAGCATACAAGATGGCATATGAATATGATATGATGAAACAGTAGACAAGCATGACATATGCATCGAGTACTAAGAAGGTGTAGTCCTGAACCCGACACATGTTGCATTTGATTTTCATAAAGTGTAATCATACAGAAAGTAATATAGTGAAATATCCATATTGACATAGCAAACATTTTGGTCTAACCAAAACAATACAATAAATAGCGCATGATACACTTATAGAAAAAAGTATTGTAGTTTGAGGATATTATTTCTGTTCCTTCTATGGTAAATATGGTACAGTGAAATAACAATGTTGCATAGCACACATTATAGCCAAGTATAATAGATATAATAGCGTAAAGCACTTTTTATAGTAGGTAGTGCATCGTACATTTATAAGAGAAAAATACAGTAAGGCAAAGGATATTGTATCAGTTCCTTGTGGAAGCAAGAATTATAGTTTGAGGATACTACTTTAGTTCCTTCTATGGTGAAGATGGTACAAAGAAATAAGAATGTTGGCATAGCAAACCTTATAACCAAGCATAATAGATACACTAGCATAGTGCACTTTTATAGTAGGTAGTGCATCGTAAATTTATAAGAGAGAATACAGTGAGGAAAAGGATATTGTTTCAATTCCTTGGGCTATTACCGCAATGTTGTTATTTTTCTAATGTATGATGAAGTAACAGCATTTGCATAGCAAATAGTATAGTCTGGTATGCCAGGTAAGGATAATAGTACTCAGGCACAAATATATATTGGTACTACAGTTTCAATTCCTTGGGCCATTTTCTCTGGAACTTTGCGATGTTGTTACTTTTTCTGGCTATATATCTTTCAATTGATAGAAGATTTTTTAGTGAATTTAGAAATTTGTCCAAAGTCGGTTTTCTATCATTTATACTGGCTAGGTATATGAACCTTTTTCCAGCAAGAATGATGTTATCAATAAAAAGATAGCCAGTGTTAATCCCCAATAATATTGTAAATTTCGTAAATAGGATATTAATATTAACAGTATTTTTAATATATATACTTAAGTCATTGCAGAAAGTCTGAGCAATATCACATAAAACATACACATGTACAATGTCTTCAGATTCTTTTTTACAGAGTGTACAGCGATCATTATCTATTATTTTCATCTTCACTAATTCTTTTCTTGTATAAATAACTTTGTGAATGAATCTGTACTGAAAATCTAAGAGTTTAATATCATTTGTACACTTTCTATAATTTAAGAAAATAGCATCCCAAGGTATAGCAATGTTTATCAAAACTTCCCATTTTCTGCAAACATCAGGCAATCTATCTGATTTGATCAATTTGTCATAAAATGTTCTACAGCCTGTCAGGGAGATAGTTAGCAATTTAATGTTTAATGTAAGCTATGAAATGACATGGGGTCATATGGGGATATTGCAATGTTTGGCTTTTGTCTAAGCAAATAATGCCATATAGCTGGATCATTGCTGAGTGTGGCGTCTAACAACCAACATACAAGCACTAGATCTAAGCAAACAATGCCATATAGCTGGATCATTGTTGAGTGTGGCGTCTAACAACGAACATACAAGCACTAGATCTAAGCAAACAATGCCATATAGCTGGATCATTGGTGAATGTGGCGTCTAACAACGAACATACAAGCACTAAATCTAAGCAAATAATGCCATATAGCTGGATCATTGCTGAGTGTGGCGTCTAACAACGAACATACAAGCACTAGATCTAAGCAAATAATGCCATATAGCCGGATCATTGTTGAGTGTGGCGTCTAACAACGAACATACAAGCACTAGATCTAAGCAAATAATGCCATATAGCTGGATCATTGTTGAGTGTGGCGTCTAACAACGAACATACAAGCACTAGATCTAAGCAAATAATGCCATATAGCCGGATCATTGTTGAGTGTGGCGTCTAACAACGAACATACAAGCACTAGATCTAGATCTAAGCAAATAATGCCATATAGCCGGATCATTGTTGAGTGTGGCGTCTAACAACGAACATACAAGCACTAGATCTAAGCAAATAATGCCATATAGCTGGATCATTGTTGAGTGTGGCGTCTAACAACGAACATACAAGCACTAGATCTAAGCAAATAATGCCATATAGCCGGATCATTGCTGAGTGTGGCGTCTAACAACGAACATACAAGCACTAGATCTAAGCAAATAATGCCATATAGCTGGATCATTGCTGAGTGTGGCGTCTAACAACGAACATACAAGCACTAGATCTAAGCAAATAATGCCATATAGCTGGATCATTGCTGAGTGTGGCGTCTAACAACGAACATACAAGCACTAGATCTAAGCAAATAATGCCATATAGCCGGATCATTGTTGAGTGTGGCGTCTAACAACGAACATACAAGCAATAGAAGTAAGCAAATAATGCCATATAGCTGGATCATTGCTGAGTGTGGCGTCTAACAACGAACATACAAGCACTAGATCTAAGCAAATAATGCCATATAGCCGGATCATTGTTGAGTGTGGCGTCTAACAACGAACATACAAGCACTAGATCTAAGCAAATAATGCCATATAGCTGGATCATTGCTGAGTGTGGCGTCTAACAACGAACATACAAGCAATAGATCTAAGCAAACAATGCCTAAGTGACTAGCAGGGGAATGTGGAAGGTGAAGTTGGTACATCATGACATTTGGATTTTGAGATAAGAATTACACAATGCTCTGATGACCCGTTTTCGATCAAATGTTTGTGGCAGATTTAGTTTTGCAAGGAGTCTTCACCTACAGTTCACGCAGGTGTATTACTTAACACACTATACGCCAATAGATCAATACATGAGGAATACATTTCAACTGAATGTAGTTTCTATTGAGTTTTGTGCTTGAGATCTTAAAAAAAAACAAATAGCTTCAATTTAATATTCAAATATACTACCCATCAAAAGTTTAGACTCACTAGTGTAAATGTAGCCACTTACTTCAGTCAACTGTTCTAAACTAGATTTTGCAAAATATCCCATACTGTTTAAAGGTACTGTTTACACATGAACTGATGTATTGTACAACAAAATTCGTAACGTTGCAAAGATTATTGTCATGAGTACAGTAAATAAAAAAACTCAGTGAAAATTGGCGAATTCTTAACAAAACTTTACACCAAAACGCAGCTGTTCAGATGCATGATATTTTCACATTTTGCAGTAGGTTCCCCAAGTCAGTGGATAAATTCATCTTCGATGTAACCATAACATATAGTGAGTGCTTTAAGTGAGACTAAACTTTTGATGGGTAGGATATCATATCAGAAAGTAATGTTTAATTCCGAAAAGAGGAAGCCGTGTTGTCTTCGGAATGTTTGTGAATCCCATGTTTGTTTGTTTGTTTGTTTGATTGATTGTTTATTTACTTGTTTGTTTGTTTTACCTGCACTTAGCAATATTTCCGCGTCATGATTGTAGTCTGTTTATAATCGTATAGGACCAAATCATTGAATCCCAAGGGCGGGATCATGTTGCTGGCAAACCAATCACTTTGATTTTAGTATTGTTACCATGCTTCAGAATCTGGGATTCGAACCCATGATCACAGGGTCCTGATACACAAAAGGGAAACAACTCCCACTAAGGTATTATTAAGACATAACACGACCGGGCCAACGTTGCCTGGTGGTCTTTAATTAAAATTAAGAATTAAGAACGTTGTTCTTGGAAGGGAAAATACAAGATAAATAAAGCATGGAAAAGTAATGTTTAGATCGAAGGCATATCTTTATCCACGAGAAACACTTCAGTACAGCCAAATGTGCAAATATGAACCAATGGTGGTGACTAAAATGTAGGACAAACACCTGATGACCGGTCAGGTTTCACTGCAAGTGCGAAGAGCTTTGTCAATCTTGACTTCTTAAACTACACCTTGAAAAGGGTTATCAAAACGCTTTAGCCACGTTAGGCGTCTCTAATCGCCAAGCTCAATCAGGAACAGGGCTAACAAAATACAAATAATGATAAACTAATGTTGAATAAAAAAACTTGTGTTTCAATAATTTTTTAACGTGTTTTATGCATTTTTTTAAATGGCCATTTGCGTGAAAGGAATTTATGAAGCTGACATTTGTTTTACTGCCCGAGCCATGGTAGGAATATTATTATTTTTATCTCTATTTTTAACAGAGGCAGATTTAAAAACATGAATTATTTACGTGGGAATAAAAATTGAGTCGGGCAGAGTAGATAAGAAACGCAGGAAGAACCTGGACTTCCTTTGTACTTAATCATTAAATTTGACAGCGTTGTATTATGTGCTGGTGTGTACATAACAACGATATCTTCTCCAGGTTATTGATTATACATTTATTATCAAAGCAGTAAACAATATTCACCGATATTCACACGTTCAGTGTACTCAAACTAACATAGTAGGTCACACTGTGGACACGCCTATGGTGTGACTCGACAAAAATTGTTACCCAACCTAGCTTGGTTTTGTTTATCATTGATCAAGTTTGAATAGCGACATAAGGCATGGCATATCTATTTCACATTTGTGTGCGAATGGCAATAGGGACCGGTGTATCCCTGAATAGTAAACACTGCTAACATTTCGCTACTCAATGTGCCTGTTACAACCCACAGTGCATTGCCGTTAAAGGGGCATT